GGGAGCTGCTAAACCTGCAGCTGCTTCTTGCTTGGCAGAGAGCGACGCTCCCAGCTGCCCCAGCAGCAAGCCCAGTATGCTTTCAGCGGTGAGGTATTAACATGAATAAGCATTTCTTCAGGAAGCATTCCTGAAATGCCGGGTCCGGCCATGCAGTGCTGCGTGGGTTTGCCAGCGGGAGGTATATGACCTACAGATGGTTGAGGGTTCTTTTTTTTTTTTTTTTTTTTTTCCTTCCTTGACCACTTACCCTCCTTCCCTCACTCATTTCAGAGGATGAAGTTGACCTGCACTGGAAAAGAGTGAGTTTGGAAAAACCTCCTTGGCTCGCTGGCGAGTTGAGGCCTTTCAGCCCAGCAGCAGGCCCCTGCGTCGTAAGGAGGGGCAGGAGCCTTTGAGGCCAGCGCTGTGCTCTGCACCCTCCTGGCAGGGGAAAGGCACAGGAGCTCCTCAACTCCTCAGGGCGATTCTGGGGACCCTGGAAAAGAGGGGCAGCCAGGGAGAGAGGGAGCTTAGTTCACCCAGGGTGCAGGAATTCCAGGAATGTGGCCGCCCTGGGGCACTGCCTGGGTGGGGCAGCTCAGGCAGGGGCGCTTGGTTTCGATTATAACCTGGGATGTGCTGGCCATTTCATCGGGCTGTGTCTGGCCCATTAGCTCTCTCATCCTGCAGATAACCCTGACCAAATGCAGAGTTCCTTCCCTCTCCCTCTGGCTTTGGCTTTTAAAGCCACAGATTAGTCTTGGAATTGAGTGATCAAACTGAGGTTTCCAAGCTAGTGTGGCTGTTGCTGTTAGTGACGGATTGGGCTGTATCCTGGAGACCTAGGCGATAATACAATCTGATTTTTTGTAAATGAACTCTCTGGGGGATTTAGATTAAATCACTGGTGGAAAATCACTGGTCCCTGCTTGCAGGGAATGAAATACCTCCTCCCTCTCTTCCCCACCCCCACCCATCACGATTCAGACTCTTCAATTTTTTTGTGTCTGTCTCTAAATTAATTGTTTGGAGCAAATATTTGTTCAACAGATTGTGGAAGGGTCAGGACTTCTCTCTGTCTGACCCGCCCACTAGCTTTTGCTTTGAAGATTGTCGCTTGCCGTGTTTCCCACCCAGGGGAACAGCCTTGCTCTCCTCTGCTAACCTTGAACAGGGCTTGTAACTCCACCACTCAGGCTGGGCTGTGCCAGCAGCTGAAGGGGAGCCAGGCAGGGTGGTAAAGGCTACAGTGGGCGAAACCACCCCACTGGCCACCAAAAAAATAAAGAAGACTGGGCAGTGTGGGTGCTGCCAGCCTGTTGCAAACCCCAGCCCGTGGTGGTTTGACATCTCGGCTCTAGCTTTCCCCCCACGCTCGGTTTCCACTGTGCCCCTTTCCCGGGATGGCAGCAGCTCGGCGAGAAGGGAGGGCAGGACGCAGGGGCTGCAAGAGCTTCCCGAGCGCCTCACCGCCTGTGGATGCTCTGCTTCACTCTCCAGCTGCAGGGAGCAAAGGGCTGGCCGCCCCCCCCGGGGGGAAGAGGGTGCGCCCCCCCCCCCGCCGTGACAGAGCAGTCCCTCTCTCTGTTTGTACAGGGAGCCTGTTTGGTGCGTCAAAGCTGTTCGAGCCTGTCCCACGAAAACAAAGCTCTCCCGAGAGGTGCAGTGGGGCAGGTCCCGGGGAGAGGGGGGCAAGTTCTGGCAGGCTCCGCTTGGCAGGGCCCAAAGCGGTTTGGGTTTCGGAGCGCTGCAGCCCTTCTCTTCCTGGAAAGCCCCTTGGAAGGAGGGAAGGAGCACAGCTCCATCGCAAGCGCAGCCTGGTTTGCGTGGGAAGCTCTGTTTCATTCCAAGAGGAACAAAGGCAAGCGCCGGGTGGCTGCGGGGCGCAGGTTGCCTTTGGAGGGGCCCCTCAAGGCTGCTGTGTGCTGGCTTGTAGCAGTTTTTTTGAGAAAGCGTTCTTTGAGGTGAGAGGGAAATGGTGAATCTCGCTACGTAGCGCTAACACGGGTGTATTTTGCTACGTTACTGGCTCTGATTTGGTTTGCCTTCCTCTCTGCAATCTGGCACCGAGAAAACAAACAAGCGAGAACAACCCGAGGGGGGGCATTTAATAACCAGCCAGAAGAGAGCTGCTGCCCTGGTGAGCCATCAAAACCAGAGGAGGCTTTTCCTGGGGCAGTTACTTTGGCCAGGACCAGATTCCACGATCCCAGTGGGGACTGGAAGTCATGGGGAGAGAAATCCAGCAAGTCGGGGAGTGCAGGAGAGGGGAGCGCAGGGTGGATGGGAGAGAGCCTGGCAGGCAGAGGTGTACTGACCGTGCGTAATCTGTTCGAGAAAGGAAAGTGAGCAGTAGTTCCCTTCTGCCTGTAACCCTCCAGTGGATGACAGTTTTGCCTTTGAGGCTAAATCTACCTTCAGAGTGGGATTTAAAGAGAGGTTCTGTGGGGGCTTGGAGGTAGATCTGTGGACGCAGAGGCGGGAGGTTTCCCGTTTGCAGGTCCTGCGATGGGGGCCGGCCTGAAGAGGCTGCGGCCAGGCAGGGCCAACCGGCATCCTTGTCACCAGTCTGTGACATCCCAATCCCAGCAAACCGGGCTGGAGGACAGATCGCTTCCCGTGTCGGCTCTGTGCGTCCCGGGCTCTCAGCTGGCCCTGGCCACTGCAGGGCTCGGCATGCCGGGACATACGTGTTGTGTCGCTCTGCGGTGGACTGGAAGCTTGCGGTTCTGTTTGGGGAAAACCCTCAGAAGATGTCAATATAGCAAACTCATTTTCGTGTTAATTTTTTTTCTTGAATAGTAGGAAATGACTCAGCCTGTGTCATATGACAGAGCACAGCTGGGATTTCATCCTGTGCTCTTGCTCCAACATTCTCAATGATTTCAGGTTGAGAACCGACTTTGCTTCTCAGCTCTTCAGAAGTGCTTTTTGGCCTCATCTGTCGCCCAGATATCCCGCACGAGCCTTCCCTGCAACCACCGCGTTACCGAGCTGATCCTGGGTGCCCCAGGAGCCTTGCGCCTCCTTGGACCGAGCTTTTTGGGCAGCACGAGATAAAAGCAAGTTCGAATTCTGCTGCTGTTGTGCCCAGAGACTCGGAGAGGAGCGGCGTGCGTGGGAGAGGCGTGGCTGCGCTTTGCGCCGTGTGGGGCATGCTGTTTGCATGAGTTCTGCTGTTCTGACTGTTAACACGCTGGGTTTTGGGGGTGCCCCGACGTTGCTAATGCCGTTGGAGATGGCAACCGTCGCTCTTGCCGGCCGCTGCGCAGCGGGACTGGCTGGGGGAGGCAGCTGTGGGCAGCCAAGGCCAGACTTCGCTGTCCTAGAGCTGAAGCTCAGACCTGGGTTATCGCTTTCCACTTTGTCCTCTGTAATTATTTCACAGTCTGGATCCCTTGGAGCTGAGACGACATCCCAATTGTCATCACCTGCTCAGGATGAAAAAAAAATCCTCTCCTCCTGCCAGCTGAGTCCCGTGTGCCTGTGCGGTGCTGGGTGTTCCTGGGGCTGTGGGAACTGCCAGCAGAGGCTTGGCTCGGGCTGTCCTGCCTGGCACGGCCGGCCCAGGTAGCCGTCACCTTTCCGGCGGGGGGGG